GGCACGTAGATGCTGTAGGAAGGTCTCTCAAAGGCCGGGGCATTGTCATTGACATCAGATACCTGTAGCAAGATGCTCTTGTGTGTGGAGAGAGGGGGGATCCCTGTGTCCGAGGCTGTGACTGTAATATTGTACTCTGGAGTCCGTTCTCTGTCCAGGGGACCATCTGACAGCAGCTTGTAGTAATTGTTAGAAGTGGGAAGGATCTTGAATGGCGGATCTCCCTGCAAGTGGCAGGTAACCTTTCCATCGTCACCTAAATCCTTGTCTTTTACATTGATCAGGGCAATGAGGGTCCCAGGTGGTGAATCTTCTGGGACTGGGCTAAACAGGGATATCAGGGCCACCTCAGGGGCATTGTCGTTCTCATCAACCACCAGCATGTGCACCTTGCAATGCGTTACTGATCCTCCACCATCCCTGGCTGCTGCTGTCAGTGTATATTCTTTGGTGTCCTCATAATCTAAGTGCCCCACCAGAGTGACTGCACCATTTATTGGGTCCAGCTTAAATTTCTTTTGGGCCTCTGCTGGGATGTTACCAAAGTGATATCGGATTTGGGCATAAGATCCTTCATCTTGATCAGAGGCCACAACCTGGAGCACCTGGGACCCAAGAGGAGCATTTTCACTTAGACTGACCCGGTAGATCTCCTGGCTGAAGACGGGTGGGTTGTCGTTGGCATCAGTGACGTTGATCTGGATCTGGGCAGTCCCGGTTTTCCTTGGGTCACCTCCATCAAAGGCAGTGAGGATCAAGTGCAGGGTCTCTTCACTTTCTCGATCGAGTGGTTTCTGCAGCACCAACTCAGCAAAACTACTTCCCTCCTGGCTCTCTTTCACATCCATGGTGAAGTATGGATTGGGACTAAGCTGGTAATTCTGGAGAGAATTAACTCCAATGTCAGGATCTTCTGCTTTCCCAAGCTGAAATCGGGTGCCTGGTAGAGTGGATTCAAGGATCTCCAGGTTGATGTTGTCACTGAGAAACTGCGGGGCATTATCATTAATATCCTGGATTGCCACAGAAATATGGAAAATATTCAGGGGATTTTCAATCACCACCTCAAAATTAACAGAGCAAAGCAGCTTCTTGCCACATATTTTCTCCCGGTCGATCCTCTCCCTGACATAGAGTTTCCCATCCTCTGCACTGGCACTGAAATATTTCATGCCGTCCACAGAGACGGCATGCAGGTTGCGCTTTGCCAGCTCCCTGGCATTCAGCCCCAGGTCCTTGGCCAGGCTGCCCACCACGGAGCCCTCTGCCATCTCCTCCAGGATGGAATAGCGGACCTGCTCCGAGGCAGCCCAGCAGGAGAGCAGCGGCAGCAGCAGCAGCAGCAGCAGCAGAAGCCGTACTTGCCTGGCCAGCGCCCGGCCGTCCTCTTCGCGCCTTCTCTCCATCGATCGGCTTGTTTGAGAAATCAGCTCTGTCCGTGTCTGCAGATCGGTGTCATCATTTGCCAGAATCCAGGATAAGGAAGTGCCTTTCCGATGGATTTGTGCAGATTTCTTGCCCTGCTTTGGCCAGCAGCACCGCGCTCGCTTTCTCTCTCCCCTTCTCTCTCCCCTCTCTCTCCTCCCGCATCTGCCTCCTACTGAGGAAGCAGCTTCACGATTCCGCAGTTGCTTCCCAGCAGCTTCTGGCCAGACACTGGCCAACAGCGGCACTGTGAGGATCAGATGGAAAACTGCAGGTGATGCTCTCTTCTTGGTAATGTCAGGCAACAGGCAACTGAGATGCCATCACAATTCAAATGAAAGAGCCACAATGGGAAGGCCAGTGTTTACCCAGGAGAAAATGTCTCCTATTTTGACTTGACTGGAATATTTGGGTTTTTAAGGTAACATATGGTGCTGCTCCTGTAATCTTGTAGATGGGATATAATCCTGGGATTTCTCGAGGAGGAATCACAAATGCAGCATGGTTGTCCGCATTCCTCCTATGGCCCAGGCCAGGTGGTGCTGTTATTCAATCCTGCCATTTCTGCCTCGATGCACAAAAGGGGTCTTGCCTGCCCAAGTACAACTGCAAAACATCTGCAGCAAACACCCAGTTCCTCCTGGGCAGGACACGTGGGGCAAGGAGCCAGAAGAGGCAGCTCCAGAGGCCCTTCAGTGGCTCAGCCAGATAGGGTGGCCGGTGGCAGGCATTGCAGGGTTCTGGGTGGGCACCCTGCAGACCCCTGGCGGCACCAGCGCCCCGGCCAGAAAGGGGCTCCACTTGCTCCTAGGTGAGCCCTGAGCGCTGCTGCCTTGCCAGCCCTTCCTGGCCCCCAGTGCAAAGACTGGACAGCAGCCCAGGGGTAATGCGGGATGCTGCACCTCGACAGACCAGGCAGAAAGGCTGTGGTTGTCGCCTCGTGCTGGGACGCCATATGCATCAGCACACCACTCCTTATATTTCTCTGTCTTGTGTCTTGGCAGAATCTGCGTTTTGTTGCAATGCTTTTGCCTGGGTGCAGCTCCGGAAGACGATGACAGAGGGCCACTCCAGGAGGCTCTGCGCTTGCTTCTTTGTCAGCAGCATTTGTTCTCTGAATACTCTCAGAAGTGTTACTCTCATTTCAACAGGCTACTCTGTGCGCCTTTAATGAAACTTTTGTGTGGGCCATTTTCAGGTTTACCAATCGCTAGGCACTGCGATGTCCCAAATACTGGCACATATTGCTGGCCAACTTTAGAGTTACTGAAATAACGGCAGTAGCCTCTCGTGGATATTTGAATTCACTGCTACAACGGCCATGGATGCTGCGACCAAGACACCTGTGACTGCTGTCCGAGTAGCAGCGTATCGTACCATATAAGCCAATTACAGTCTCCCTTGTGTGGATCTTGCAGCTTAATGTCTGAGTTAATACATCATTCTTCATGTTACTGAAATTAAGCTCTGTTATGGCCATCCTCTGCTCTTCACACAACAAAAAGAACCCCAGGAAAGCACCAGAGCCTGGGTGTCCAAGCACAACCACCTTCCGGCCTAACAACTCAACATTGTATATTCATCGGACCGCTTCCAGTCATTCCCTAAACTAGCTTACTTAAACAGGCAGGGGGCGTGATAGGGCCACCACTGGTTTCAGGATGGCAATTGCATGGAGGGAGCCATGAGAAGCGGAGAGCCTCGTGTGGACCCAGGATGCGGATCCAAATCACACCCTTCCGGAATGCCTGAACACTGAATGCAGCTTCACGCTCTCCCTCAGGCACATGCATGCGAAGGAGCATATTTTAGATAAGAACTGATTTTGAAGTAGTTCTTTAATGGAAATGGTTTCCCACACACTGTTCAAACATTAATGAATCTTTTAAAAATGAAGTAATGCGTCTGTTCCAAGTCAGACTGTGAGTGAAGAAAGTAAAATCATAGATCAAAAAATTAAGGATAGGGCACCATAACATATATTTTAATTTTTTGGATCTCTGTAAAAAGGTGCAATGCTTGTAATCTAGGTACCAACTGACAGAAAACTTACCACTTCACCGTTACCCATCTCCGGATTGGGGGCATTGTCTCCATTGATCATCATTAACGTATCAGACTTATTGGTACACGGAATAATCTCAGTGGTAGGAACAGGGGGCTTTGGGAAGGCAAATTCATGGATCCGGGACTCGGACGATAAGCAGAGCTGGTAGGAGTACGGCAAGGTCCCTTCCTCGTAGTTGGGGGGAAAAATGAGTGTGTTGTTCGAGTGGGGGATGGGAGCAAAGCACTGCAGGAATTTGGGGCTCCCTGACTGTCGGAGCTTCAGCATGATGACGAGGGT